ATATCGCAATTTCCTTGATTCTCAAACATGTTGACAGCGCAGTACATTTTGTGTCTGACTCGTATAGCATCGTCAAAATACAACGTACCATCATGACACATGACAATATACAGTCTGGGCGACACAAAAACGCTGCCTCCACAACACCCCGCATTTGAATTGACGTGGATCTCGCTCAGAGTGAGCTTTGACTCTGTGTGCCCAGGGTAAAAATTCTGCACGTGCCCAGCTCACGACGGAGAAACAGCATATTTGCGCCCATTGCAATCTTCATAAGTCCGTGCGCAAAAGCGAGATCTAGTTTGTGTTACCTCAGTTGACAAAGCACTCCATCACGTGTACTGATGTCGCGAGTTTTCTAGGCTTCGCGCATGTGGAATACTTGCGTATCGAATCGTCGAAGAAAAATGAGCTGCTAGATTTTATGATAGTTCTTATCACCAGTATGTAGGCTGAGCACATAAGGAAACGTTTACAGCCGACGGATTAGTCGGGTGTCTTCTTGCATGTGCTGTACGCACCGAGACATTTTAAGTCCACCCAACCTTACTTGATGAAACAGTGAATGTCGCATTAAATGTGGAAACCGACTTGCGATAGACGAGGGACGAATGGTTTGCAGGGTGTGAAGATTCTGGGCGTGCACGAGAGATGATGGATTTCATGTGAGATGAGGGTGGGGAAGCGATCTCTTGTCTGTCGGCATCATGGCACACAAGATAGGTAACACCTACAGAGAACTGACTGACAGATTGTTTTTGGTAGAATATCCGATTCCAGTGGTTGTAGGGTTGCCTACTGGGACGATAGCACACGAGCCATAAATACGATGCAATATCGATGCCTTTTTAATCGAGGATACCTGTCAAATTGTTGATGGTTCTTCGGACATCAGAATTTAGTTTGGTAGCTTAGATTTATTGTTTCGAGGACTGATTTCAAGATATAATCCAATCTTGAGAATGACCACAATGGAACTTTGAGAGTATCGATGAGTTGGAGTTAGGCACCACGCACCTTTATTTGATTGATGCTTCGGGTATTAACGATCGATCCAAACTAGAAAGCTAATGTGCATCTAAAACGGGTACGATGGTGCAACAGATTTATAGCAGAGCATCAGAATTTCGATAAAACTAGCAACGATATTTCTGGGGACTTCGAAGAAAGATATACCGCGGTCTACAGAATATATTGCTGCTGATACGAGACTGAGCGACTGTGTTTAGTATACGTCCGCTCAGACAAGAGATAGATACTGCATGTCGCGGTTCGCACGTCCGATGTCTTGCAAGATAGATATTTGTAGCTATGATGACGTGGGCCTCGATAGACAACATTTGACAAAAAGGGCATAATACTCCCAAAACATGTCATCTTGGTAGGAAAAGGACGTACGGCTTTGCGGTAATTGTCTGGGTAGCTTAAAATATACGAACGGGTAAGCACCCACAAGTGCAACGGCCAAATGTCAAAATCATCGCACATGCGTTGACAGCCTGGCCAGCCTGTCGATTCCAGTAGCGCACTGATCATTATAATTGAGACATATCAACGAATTCTTCTAGGAATGCAGGTACGATGGACTTTGCATACCGTTTGAGCAATATGATTCATTTTGCTGCTGTACGCGGCTTTAGAGTGCTCCTCAACAAATTCTTTCGCCAGCATTGCTTGACTGTGTAAATTGTCTCAGATAAAACTTGCTAGAGCGACATGATTCCACCTATTGAGTTTGTGTCGAATGATGTTGAACAGGCTTCAGCAGACTTTACTGTTTTATCGTGGATTTCGTGTACCCTTGACACCTCCAAAATGTGAATGTCAACTACTCGGCTGATAACGATGCCATTAAGATATCGGTACCATTGGCCCAGAAGGTGCTTGCCATCTCTAGAACCAAATCATCAGTATTACGAAAGTTTTGATTCCCGCGTAAGCATAGGAATGAATACATGTGTTAGCAAGTGGCAAAACAGCACCGCCTTAGGATGTGTAGAGAGTTATACTAATTTCTAGTGATCAATTAAGGTTCCGAACTTGTTGGAGCTTGTGCCGAGGATTTGGTAGGTTATCGACTGAAAAACAACAACACACTGCAATATCAAAGGCTCTGTTATTTAAATAATAAACAAATAAATTTACCATAAATCGGTGCACATGTTTTGGCATTTTTATGTCTTTGAGGTGGAGATTAACGGTGTGGGTAATCGTCAGATAGCTCCCCTAGCTCCATATGCTGTAGAGCCATAAGCGCCCCTACAAGTATAATATTGTGCATTGCACGCGAGTTGTTGCATCCCGTTGGGTGACCAACGGGATACAACAAGTCCATGATTTTGGTGGTCAGGATTATTTGACGAAATAAGATCACATGATCATACATTTTTGGCGTCAAGGTCTGTGCATACTCGGTATATCACGACTAGAAACTTTATAGCAGGGGCAACAGTGACTCAGAGGATCACCGAATGAATACTATAATGAGCTGCAAGTACCTTGTAATACGTCATGATTGTCAGCTTTGAGTCAATTATACGCAGTCATACATCAATCGAATTTTTCTAAAGATTTTGCCCCCCGTCTAAACTTGACGATTTGCTGATTAAGACCGCTTGAAATCACTTACAGAACTGAAATTATAGGAAGAGAAAACTAATTAAATCTCTCGAGCACCTTTGGTATAGAATTCATTAAACACTAAAATAGCAAGTTATCGCAAGTGCTGGCGATATAGACGTGTATAGCAAGTTGACCAGAGGATTATGCTCTCGAAAGGATATCTTAGACCAATTCTCGATATTAATATCTCAAAAGCAACATCAAGCATGTTCAATTCCGTGGCAACTCGGAATGAGATTTCTGCGAACAGGTATATTTGATCTGCCACATTCAATCTGATTGGATTGCCGTACTACTGTCGACGCTGCGGCTTCCTCGACATTTTTATTGTCTGATCGGCAGCAAAAGAATTTGATGCAAAATGAGCTAGGTATTTCCAAATGTTAAAGCCTGGCCGTGCCCATTGCACAAATAAACAAACGATACTTGCTTTTCTATTGCATGCCTTATTACATACTATATATCATCGTAGCTCACCAAAATCGCTCTTACTCAAGAAGGCTCATGGTCATCGCAGTCGTTTCAATTGTCTATTCAGCTCTTGGTGTTCGGCGGCGTTGGGGCTTCGCTGCACCAGCAATATTCGCATCAAGTGGCTCAATAGACTCTTCCTTTTTTTCCTCGTCCTCTGAATCGCTGCGAATATCTTTTTCGACATTACCGTCGCCCACCGCTTTAATCACCATTTTGATAATTAGAAAGCCCCAATATATGTGAAGCACAAGCAACAAGCACAAAAACCCAAAAAAGACAGCCCAGACCCAGTACCACACGGGTGCATCAAAACCGTGAAAAGTACCGGCTTCCATGATTGACGCGACGATATCCCGGTAAGCAAAGGCGTAGGCGCTGTGTAGAATATTATGCGAGTAAAAGAACCAGCGCACAATGAACCACAACAGCGCAAACAAGCCAAACAGGATGTTTGCTACGGTCTCCCACTGAAGATACACGAAAATCTTGGCTAAAATCGAGTTACCATTGACAAGGTTATATACGATATGAGTTAGTTAACTTGTTAATAATTATTAACATCGTGCAAACGTACCTGTTTCAAGCATCAGGTCGTTAACATCGTGGAGCATGAGCACACAGATTCCGATCTTTGTGAGGTCAACGCTATACGAAAAAAGCATGAGCGAGATGGTTGCAAAATGGTGCAAAAGCATCTCGGCATTATCCTTCCGCTTGACAGTATAGTGTTTGTTGGTAATGTTTAGCATAAAATCAATGCTTTGGAACCAGAAGCTCAAATAAAACATGTAGTACCAGCGCTGTGCCTCATTGGCTACGTATGGAAAATCTGTGAAATACTCCTGCTTGTTGAAAAACCAAGACTCATTCCACCCAACGTATAGACCGTAGATATGAAATGCGCCAACCGCCGCATTCTTATACAATGACTCGCGCATCTTGTCCTTCTTGTCCTTAGTCAACCATCCTTTGCGCAGCACAAAGTTTACACTGGGTCGAATAATCACCGTATCAACGAGGTAATGATATAAATATAGGCCTCCTAAGGCCATGACAAAGCGCTTAGCCTCTTCTGCGGGGTCGCATTCGGTTAGAAAGCAAGGCATGTCAACAAGAATTCTGCACCTGACGCGTGGTCCAAATTATGCGTAATAATTCAGTGCTCATTTCAAAAAGAGATAGACAATATAAATTATATGAGGATGCAACACAGCAAAAAATTCCGGCTATGTTACATAGTATTTAGCACCTGTTCTTCACATATTGATCAATTAAAAAACATTCTCGGAGCGTCAAAATTAGAGTCCGTTAAGCATAAAAATGCCATACACTTAGTTATAATGTGAAGATCTAGCCTAGCTAGTTCCACTCGTTTATTTTGAGCTGTATTAAGTGCTTGTAACTTATAGACATGTAGGGGCAGATCGCTTATGGCTCCGAAGCATATGGAGCTAGGGAACTTTTTGAAGATTACCAATTTAAAATTGTTATTTTTACATTCAAGATGCTACAACCTTTATTTTCGACTAAACGAAGTGCCTTGGTTCCCATTATCAACGGCATTGGTATCTGTAAGGAACATATCATCTTGTAAAATCATACAAATTCGTTCAAGCCACTCAAACTGTCACTTGGCCCGCACCGTTATTCCCCACAAAGACAATAACTCGTTAAAAAAAGGCCAAAACATGTGCACCGATTTATGGTAATTTATCACATTTAATATCGAAATAATTTGTTTACTATTTTAATAACAGTGCCTTTGATATTGCAGTGTGTTGTTGTTATTCAGTCGATAACCTACCAATCCTCCGCACAAGCTCTCAACAGTCCGAGACCGTAATTGATCACTAAAAATTTGTGTAACTCTCTACGTATCATAAAGCGATGCCACTTGCTAACACATGTATTCATTCCTATGCAAATCAAAAGTATATTATCTACCCGGGCATGAATTGGTTCTAGAGATGGCAAGCACCTTCTGGGCCAATGGTACCGATATCTTATTGGCATTGTTATCAGCCGAGTAGGTTGACATTCACATTTTGGAGGTGTCAAGGGGACACGAAATCCACGATAAAATAGTGAAGTCTGCTGAGGCCTGTTCCAACATCATTCGACACAAACTCAATGGGTGGAACCATATTGCTCTAGCAAGTTTTATCTGAGACAATTTACACAGTCAAGCAATGTTGGCGAAGACTTTTGTTGAGAAGCGTTTTAAAGCTGCGTACAGCAGCAAAATGAACCATAATGCTCAAACGGTCTGCAAAGACCATTTTTTGATATATCTTAATTATTCAATGATCAGTGCGCTACTGGAATCGACAGGCTGGCCGGGCTGTCAACGCATGTGCGATAATTTTGACATTTGGCCGTTACACTTGTTTGTGCTTACCCGTTCGTATATTTTAGGCTACCTGCAGATAATTACCGCAAAGCCGTATGTCCTTTTCCCACCAAAATGACATGTTTGAGAAGTATTATGCCCCTTTTGCCAAATGTTGTATCGCGAGGCCCACGTCATCATAGCTACAAATATCAATCGTACAGGACATCGGACGTGCGAACCGCGACATGCAGTAGATATCTCTTGTCTTTGCGGACGTATACTAAATACAGTCGCTCAGTCTCGTATCAGCAGCAATATACTTTGTAGACCGCGGTATATCTTTCTTCAAAGTCCCCAGAAATATCTTTGCTAGTTTTCCCGAAATTCCGATGCTGTGCTACAAAGCTGTTGCACCATCGTACCCGTGTCAGATGCACATTAGCTTTCTAGTTTGGATGGCTCATAAATCTCCAAAGCATCAACCAAAAGAAGTGTGTGGTGCCTAACATCAATTCATCGATACTCTCAAAGTTCCATTGTGGTCATTCTCACGATTGGACTATATCCTGAAATAAGTAAATTAATCTAAGCTACCAAACTAAATCCTGAGGTCCGAAGAACCATCAACAATTTGACAAGTACCCTCCATTAAAGAGGCATTGTTATCGCATCGTATTTGGCAATTAATGGCTCGTGTACTATTGACAACTCTTGCAGACGCGCGTCGAGCACATTTGCACAACCCCCTTGAATCTATCAAGGCTTTCCGCGGCTATATAGAACTTGAAGCGTTTGATCAACAATCCTGAGTTGTGCGCTGCATAATCAAGAAGGTCTCGTTCTTTTAGTTTGAGTCGTATTTACTTCGACCTCCACTAGGTGAAAAAGAACCTGGCTCTTATCCAGTAGGCAACCCTACAACTACTGGAATCGGATATTCTACCAAAAACAATCTGTCGGTTAGTTCTGTGTAGGTGTTACCTATCTTTTGTACCTTGATGCCGACAGGCAAGAGATCGCTTCCCCACCCTCATCTCACATGAAACCCATCATCTCTCGTGCACGCCCAGAATCTTCACACCCTGCAAACCAGTCGTCCCTCGTGTATCGCAAGTCGGTTTCCACATTTAATGCGACATTCACTGATTCATCAAGTAAGGTTGGGTGGACTTAAAGTGTCTTGGTGCGTACAGCACATGCAAGAAGACACCCGACTAATCCGCCGGCTGTAAACGTTTCCTTATGTGGTCAGTCTAAATACTGGTGATGAGAACTATCATAAAATCTAGCAACTCATTTTTTTGACAATTAGATACGCAAGTATACCACATGCGCGAAGCCTAGAAAACTCGCGACATCAGTACACATGATGGAGTGCTTTGTCAACTGAGGTAACACAAGCTAAATCTCGCTTTTGCGCACGGACTCCCGGAGATTGCAATGGGCTCAGATTTGCTGTTTCTCCGTCGTGAGCTGGGCACGTGCATATTTTACCCTGGGCACACAGAGTCAAAGCTCACTCTAAGCGAGATCCCCGTCAATTCAAATGCGGGGTGTTGTGGAGGCAGCGCTTTTGTGTCACCCAGACTATGAATTGTCATGTGTCATGATGGTGACATTGTACGTTGACGATACTATACGAGTCAGACAAAAATGTGCGACGCTGTCGACATGTTTGCGAATCAAGGAAATCTGCAATAGAGTATTGCATTATTTGAGCGTTTAAAAATGTCTCATATCAACACTTTTTGTCGCAAGG